AGCTTGATAGTGGACTGAGGCTACAAGGTATAACCCCTTTTAAGGTTACACAATAAATATATTCAACCTGTTCTCCGAATCGAGATTTTTAATACTTTTTACTTAGAGCTATAACAACCCTTGCCATAGCCGTTTGTTATTTGACTAATTAATGGATAGTATAGCTCGAGCTTAGTTGGCTTGTTTGAGACAACTTCAACAACTTCTCAAATTCTAATTTGGAGGGAACATTCAAACTAAATTCTACAAGCAAATCAAATCTGTCAAAGTTCCAAGCTGATTCTAGGAAAGATGAGTTCACATAGATAGAGAGAGTTATGCCAAGACATGCCCACACACAGAATATCTAACCAGCTGGACTCAATCTCAACAATTTTGATATATATAGGCTTATGTTTGGTGAATAAATATACATAGAGGATTGCTATGTTCAAGATATTCATGAACATTATATGAGTCAAGACAAGTTTTTACGAGCTTGATTTGGTTAATATCAAAGTAAATTGTCTGGTCTGTGTTTCTTTGTTGGAAAAACAAGTCAAGGTTGATTTCACATGAGTCCAGTTGAGCTTTCTTCACGACTCTTTCAAACATTTTATAGCTTGAGCTCAAGTTGTTATAATTGAATGGAACGTGATCACCCGCTTCCATGTTTGGCATGCAGCGGTTTCATGTGTTCAATGTTTGATGCATGCATACAACATACAGGATACAAAATTGTTGATTTTAATCCAACGAAAAAAGTTCACAGGAAAAACAGCTTATGTTTAAAATAACTGTTTAATGATCTTCTTTACAGTTTTATGTTCCATTTTGTCATTGATGTCATAACAAGCATAATAACATTATGCTTGGAAGGGGGCATATCAAGCCCTCCATATCATTCTTGTTTCATTTCCAAGTATTAACCATTTGTTGGGTCTTCTAAAGATGTCGTTGAAGGGGAAGGACCAGAGGCTCGTGAAGGGGATATCGTTGAAATTAATTATGTATGCCGACGATCAAATGGATATTTTGTCCACAGGTACTGTTTTAAATAAAGATCAACTTAAGAAAGTAAGAAAATTATATGACTGCTGGTTGAGAAATATAGAATAGAGAAAGAGCATCACCTTATGTTCTGCTCCTCCAGATACTTCTTCATCAGTAAATCCACGTCATACTTTCTTCTGTTCTGTGGAATATACATTGAATTTTTTCATTTTGCTTCAATGTAGTACCGTGGACCAGTTCAGCGGAGAGAGTGCCCCTGTCATACTTCCTCTGGATGATAAACAGGTCATGGTATTTGCTAGCTTTGGGCTTAAAATAGAAATTTTAAAGGTCAGACAGCAACCTGCTGACTTCCATCTAGAAGGTCTTTTGTATATCGATGCCATTTGTGCCTATAAAATGGGAGATATATAGTGCTTGTGGTCCAATAGTGCCACCGGCCACGTAGTTCATCAACAAGGTTAATAGTATTGTAGATAAGTTTTGTTAATGAGATAAAATATGTATTGTAGTTCCTACCTTTCTTCTTACATTTTCTCCTCTCTAAAGAAGCAACATGCTAGAGAAGTCTTGGTACATACTTGGTCCCCCCCCCCCCCCCCCCACACACACACACACACACACACACAAAAGAGAAACTTAGTAATAAGAAGAATAACTGCCAGGAGAAGCTGTTGATAATTAACTGATTTTGTTTGTCTTAAAAGTCTCCATGAATATCTGCAGATAATAGAAGGTCTGAAGGAAGTCCTTATTGGAATGAAGCCCGGAGGTTGTTCCTACTCCCTTAAGAAAATATTTTCCGTTCTTCAAAGTATACAGTTCTAGGTATTTGAACTGTAAGGTCTGTACTGCAGGAAAACGAAGAGCACTGATACCACCTTCCGTTGGATACATCAGTGAAAACCTAAAACCAGTACCTGAAGAGGTATGTGTTTCACGGATATTATCATTTAACCTACTAGTAGTCATAGCATTAATATTGTAGTTTCTTGTTCTTCGATTTCTGTTACTATTTATTGTTTCTTGTTCTTCGATTATAGTATTATTGTGTTGTAGATACTGTATCTTCTTTTCAGAATGTTTGTCATGCTATCTTTAGTATTTTGTCGTAACTTCTTCACTTCTGTTATTTCTTATCTGAATTGCTTTTTTATGCTTTTCCTTGAGCTGAGGATCTATCAGAAACAACCTCTCTACCTCCCAAGGTAGTGGTAAAGTCTGCGTACACACTACCCTCCCTAGATCACATTGTGTGATTACACTGGGTATGTTGTTGCTACTTTTGATAGCTGTTACCCTACACTTGTCTCCCAACTAACTGATTCTATGAGTAATTCTTTGGATATAGTTTTGGCTGGTTAATTGTTAAGTCGATTATGCAAGGAATTCATGTTCCTCACATGTTTTTATAGTCAATGTTATTGGTTTATCAGCAGATAATGTTTTATTGCAGTTTGGACCAAGGCGTAGCCTTATGTCTCACATGAAGGAGCCTCTAATTTTTGAAGTGCAGCTATTGAAAGTTTTATCATGAGTACCATATAGTATTAGTGATAAACTATCCTATGTAAGTAATTTAACCAATTAACTTCCACTATTATGAAAGAAAATCTTTCCTTGGTGTACCTGTTTTGAGGATTTAGCTTCCAGAAATTTGGCCAAGCAGGACTGTTCCATAACTGGTTTATCCTGGTTTTGTTTCCATTTTAGAGGTAGTTCTACTTAAGACAATGTAATCGCTAAAAGATATTGATAGTCGTGAAAGGCCTACAATCTCTTGGAATTCATGCAGACCTAGTAAAATTTGGTACAGCAGAAGAAAATGATCTATGTAGGCGATATTGAGAAAATGTTATAGTCATGTTAGTACGTTTACTTTACGTCCTATATTTAGAGCCTTTTAGTCATGTAAAAGATTCATGTATTTTCTAGTGCCTTTTTTTTTTTTGTATAATATTAGCTGAGATGAGCTTATATGGAGTGGCATTGCAATGAGGATTTCTATGTTCCAACTTAATTGTGGTTTAGACATTATTCATTAGAATGTAAGGATTTTGCTTCAAGAATGGTTCAGTGGTTGGAATTTGGAAATGGAAGTATACTAACAATCCAGAGATCTCAGGTTCGAATCCAATTTTAACACTCAAGCGTGCAAGTCCATTTCCTCGTGAGCATATTTACTTGATGTTTGTATTTCTACCATAGGTCGTCCAATGAGTTAGTGAAAGTGTGTGCAAACTGATCACAATATTACCCATAAAAAAAGAAGAAGAAGAAGGTCACCATGCTCAATTACAAATTTGTCATTTTCCCCAACAAGAAAGTGTAGAACTTGACACTTCTGCTTTATTTATTTTTTTCATTACCAGTCCACTATTTGATAATTTTATTGAGGTCTGATTAAATTTGAATTCACGCAATGTAAGATTTATTTTTGAGGACGATACCTCAAACATGATTTTACCCACTTTCAAGGGTTTGAACTCAAAACTTCTATTCAGGCGGAAGAATTCCAACCAAAGAAAGTCTAGTACAAGCCTCCATTTCTTAATTTTATTTTTGGGTACATTTAGAAAAACTAGATTTAAGAAAAAAGAATATATATGACTCAAATCTGTCAGCATCTCCCTGGATTAGCAAGTAGTACCTATCTACCCATTAATTTACTATAGTTTACACTTTACAAAAATAGTAAGTTGATCCCACTTGTCTGACAAATTGTAACTAAAAGTGTGCTGGATTCTGAGCCATTTCTATACTCCCTCCGTCCCATTTTAGTGACAACATTTGATCGGACACAAAATTTAAGAAATAAATAAAAACTTTGAAATGTTTATCAAATTGTCCCTTCAAAAAATAGTCATATTAAAAAGTAGACTTCCTTTTCTCTCTCCTCATAAATGTATTGGAGTACTATCTAAAGTGGAACCAACAAGGGTAAAAGAGAAATTATACCTTTAAATACTTACCATATAAGAAAATGTGACATTTTTTTTGAAACTGACCAAAAAGGAAATCGTGCCACATAAAATGGGATGGAGAGAGTATTTATAAAGAAATATAGAAATTTGGATTAAACGAATAAGTAAAATATAAATATTTAATGGTTGATCAAAAGGAGTGTCTTTACTATTTTAGCGAGTCTATGAGAAATACAAATTTTGAGCAAATTTGTCCTTGTAATATGCAGTAAATTTTCCCTCAAAGTATGCACATAAGACCAAATATGTCTTTCATACAAGGTCGTGATATCTTAAAAGTATGACACTGATTTTATAGATTAATTAATTTTATAATTAGATTAAATTGTGAAATTATTTTTGAAAAAGACATTTGAACCAAACATCTAATGATAAGAACATAAATAAATTAAAATATTAGCATACGATAAATTTATTCAATTTCACATAGTACAAAAATATATCGGACTTTAGTTAAATAAAAGGAAAAAAGGGGGTAGACTAGTAGATTTACCCAACTTTGTTGTCCATATCAATAAGACAATGGACCCTACATCTATTCGACGCTGACGTGTAAATTGTAACGGTTTCACCTTTTATCATTGTTCCAGTTTCCGTACTATAATTTTATTATATAAATTGTAAAATAAAATAAGTGCAAATTACAAAGTCTTACAGTTCTTATCCTAAAAGTAAATTTCATATCCGATTGAAATTTCTTCGTTCTTAATTAGTGATTTTAAATTGAGCTATGAAATCGAAGTTAAATAAATCGGTTATAATTAAGCAAATAATATAATACAATGAATAATAACCATCCAAAAAAGAGTGTTAGTATTACTTCTTTTAACGAACTATATATATATATATGACGAATCTAAGTTAATCGAGTCCATGACAACATAACGGATGAACCCAAACCAAAACAAAATTTTTTTTTCACCTTATCTAGAAAATCTAGTGTAAAACCTTGGCGTCACTGTAAAATTCACAAAAAAATATCAAGACAATAATACATAAAAACGCTCCTTCTACGAACTTTCCCCACTATAAATTCACTTGGTACGCACCAAAATTGTTTAAAGATTCATATATACTGCATAAAGATACTATCTTTTTGCTTTTATCTCTCTTTTTTTAAGCCCAATCTACTTGAATCCAGCTATAAAAGGTATATTCAAGAATCTAATTTTGCATTCACATTAACAGGTTGCTTTATTTATGCTGGTCAATTTTTATCTGATTTCCTGTTGCAGATATGGATCCCCTTTTAGTTAAAAAAGCTTATATCTTTTATTTGTTGGACTATATGTTAAAGATTTTGATTTGGGTTGATTTCTTTTTTTTGTGATAAAGTGATGATTTTTTGTTATGTTGAGTGTTATAGTAGTCCAGTGTTGGTTACATTTCTTTTTAAGGTAGAGGTAATGTTTGCGTACGTCCTACCCTTTATAGACCCCACTTGCGAGATTACACTTATGTTGTCGTAAGTGCTGTAGTAGTTAAGCAGGTAGAATCTTTATTGCTATTTGTTAATTCTTCTGGTCCCCTCCCTCTCATACTCTTAAGGGCTTCACAAGGGGTTGATTTGGTTGTAGAAAAGGAGCAATCTTTTTCGTACTTTTTAGCTGTTGAGATGAACATAATTAAATTTTCAGCGTTCTGGGTGATCAATTTGAGGACGTTTGTGTTGAAGAGTCTCACATTGGATGAAAAAGGAATGGATGGTCGCTTTATATGGCCTTGGACAATCCTCCCCCCTCGTGAGCTAGTCCAAAATACATTGTTTTACAGTTTGAACTAGGATAAAGCAGAGTTGTGAATATGCAGTAGTGAGGATATAGAGAGCTTCTTTTATCAAATTACGAGGACATGTACGGATTTGTGAAACCTTGATTTGGTTGCAGCAAAGGAGCAATCCTTTTTCATACCTTTTAGCTGCCGAAATGCTCTGAATTATATTTTCAAGATTCTGGGTGATCATTTGGGACTAAGGTGCAATTGTTGTTGTTCTAGGTGATCATTTGTACTCAATTGAGGATGTGTGAACTGGGATACAGCAGAGTCATGAACACACAGTAGTTAGGATATGGGGAGATTTATCTATCAATAACTAGGACATATAGGAATTAAGGTGCTACTAAATTGTTTTATTGGACAGTGGAGATCTAAGTTGATGATTCTGATCACTTAAATGGGGTATTTCTTTAATGTAGTAAGGCACATCGAGAGGCTGTTGAGACCTGAAGCTGTTGCTTTCAAGATTCAGACTGGTTACTTGTCAGTTTACTGGAAGTTTTGTGTTTGAGTTGCAATCCTGTTTGGATCAGATTGTGTTGTGATTAATGAATCAAATAATCAAACGTGATGATTAGCATTCTAAGAGATCGAAACTTTGTGTTTGGGAAATTTGTGAAAAATAAAAGGGAGTGGTGCCTCGTTTATTAGTTGATACTTCATTGGGACTTGAAGAACCAAACTAGAGTCATGAAGCATCAATTGCAAAATTGCTTCCCAATGGTCCGTTTTGAGTTAATTTAGACCCAATTCTAATTATACTTGAGGAAATATCCAACGTAGTTTTATACATATACTTGACATTGCCTGGAGTCAAAATTGAAGCAAGTCTATAGGCGAAAAATAATAAATAGAAAAAAGGAGGGTGCAAAAGAGATTATTTTTTTTTGAATATAGTTGCCATGTTCAAGATGATATTAACAGATGAGTTAAGATACTTTTGGCTATGGCTAGATTGTGTTTTGCTTTATCTGGACATAATACTTTTGACTTATCACTTTTCTCCTGTGGTTGACTACTAATTTTGGTCAATTTTCACAAACCAAATGTTCTTGGATCTCTGTGAACATTAATGCTTGTGCATGCTCATTATATCAAGAAATAATGATCTGTTTTTTAAGACTAGCAAGTATGTATTTTATTCATCCAAAGTGCATGAATATGTACAAGCAAAAGCTCAGTAGCCCTTTGTAAATTTGGGAACCGAGGAATACAAGAAATGTGACGTTATCGTAGACATCTAGCATCTTAAAGAAAAGTGCCACAAAGTATAAACATCTGTATCTGAGTCGAAGGAATCATGAATTATGGACCTTACTGTTTTGACCTTTAAAAAAAAAAAGGAGTTATGTGTGGACAAGATCTCACTTGAAAGGAAAGGTTTTTTAAAAGTATGTCAGTTACCATCTGGATGACTATTTTATGTTGGTGGTACAATCTTCTGTATGCTTTTGTTCCATTAGCTGATTGTTACGTAAATGCAGAGCCTACAATTAATAAATGGGTTCAAAAGCAGTTGAAGATTTGATACAGGCGTCATCGGGAGTACATTATTCTGGATTCCATTTAGAAGAGCCACATACTTCAGAGATTGAGCAACCAACAACTTCTATAGATGAACGTGTTAAGCAACCCTTTGTCATAGGTATGTCGAGGCAGTGATATATCTCTTGCTGTTGCTTGAGCTTTTTCTCAACTAACTGTACCTTAGAGGCTATCATGCTTTGTTTAATCATAGAAGGAGATAAATCACCGAATTGTTCTTCGCGTGCTTATGTTTGATGAATTTCAGTGTACACGATACTTTTTGCTTCCGAAACTAAGGACAACTACTCAGTCTTTTTATCACAAATATATGCAGAACAATTCATTTCAGTCATCATTCAAATCATTTTGGATGGATGCTAATGGCACTTTTCATATTTAAAACTTAGTAAAGCTATGCATGCATATGCCTGATCACATTAGATGAGAAAATTATGAAGTTGAATTTGGCGATGGATAGGAAAGCTTGCATTAAAATTATTCATTTAGTTGTTTGATGTAGAAGTCCAGACCAAGTTTTATCTGACTAAGGCCTGGGTTTGTTTTTGTGCTTGATCCTTATCTTGCCTGCTGCATTGAATTTGTATCTCGTCTTAGTGGAGTTAGTTGAGCATTTGTTGGAAGCATATGCCACGAGCTTCTCTTCTCTGAGTTTGTTGTCTGATGTTTGGTGAAAAGAGCAGTTTGTTGCTTCGGTATGAGGAGATCTCTTGGGATTATGGTCGAAGATGGGAACAGTTTATGTAACTTGGCTACAGTTATGAAACTTAATCTTTTAACTGATTGAATTTTCGTTCTGTTCAAGGCTATAATGCAAATTGTGTTTGCATATATCATGATTGTTATCTGTTTGAATCATTCTAGCTCTCTTAGGGTTCTCTTAATCCATGCTCATATTACATATAAACTGTTTTCCCTGCAGGAGTTGCTGGAGGTGCTGCGTCAGGCAAGGCTACAGTTTGTGATTTGATTATTGATCAGCTTCATGATCGGCGTGTTGTCTTAGTTAACCAGGTGGGTTTTCATCAGAGTAAAAAAAGGAACACCTTTCATCACTCTCAATTTTACTGACAGCATAATCTTTTCCTATGCGTTCTTTTTTCTAAAAATATTGTACCCTTAGGACCAACCACAACCTTCGAAACTTGGGGATGATGGACACAACCCTCTGCCCTTCTCTGATTAAATACTAGGCTTGGTTCGTTTGACGTAGGGCTCGAACCCTTGACCTTAGCCACAAAGTCCCTCAACCTTGCCAAGTGAGCTAAGCCATGGGGCAGATATAATTGATAAACATTCACTCTTCGCTTATTACAGCCATGTTACCTTTCTTCTTGATGAGGTATAGGCTAGCTGGGGTCCTATTCCATATTATCCTTTGGGAGGTGGGGGGGGGGGTAGGTCTCCAACTTTCTAGTTTTATAAGAAAATGTAATTGATCAAGCTATTACTATATAATCTAATTATTCATAAGCACGCTATCCAATTCTTTTTGCTGAGAATTTGGTGTTTTATGGCTATTCCATGTACTAGTTCTATCACGCCCCCGACTTTTATGACAATAAAAGTACATTTTGAGAGGAGCTTAACTTGCATTTTAATACATTCAATCTGAAAGTTCATAGTTGTCTTCTGCATTTTGCGGCAAAATGAGTTTCAAGATATTGATATTTATCTTGGCTTTTACGTGTGAAAATCAATAAAAAAGACTATAGGGCACGGCTAAGGCTTCATCTGAGATGTTTCATTGCTGAAGTTGTGGTCAGAAAAAACATAGGGTTTAGATATTTGTCTGTCTTGCACTACTTTTCAGTGTCCTCTTGCATCATATATGTATTAGCCTACCAAAACTTGAACACTGATTTATCTGACTTGTGTTTCAATTGGCAGGATTCTTTTTATCACAATTTGACTCCAGAAGAACTCACAAAAGTTCACGAGTATAACTTTGACCATCCTGGTTAGTCTAGTTCTTTATACTCAATTATCCATTTTATCATTCTCACAGTCGCCTATAGACCACTAGTAATAGTATGCCATAAACTACAAGTTTTGTGACTTGGAACACATGTGCTATTGTGGTTAAGCTATCAAGGCCTTAAACGCCTTAATCTTATCAGAAGTTCCTATAAACAATTTCAAAAATAAAATAAAATAATATAGTAGTAGCTACCTCAGTGTCAACTCCATGAAATCAGCTAATAAGGATTTGAACAATTAGTATTGTTTTATATGTGCTCAGTTTCATAAATATTAAAAAGTCACTTTTATGTTCTAGAATAATGTCTGCTCTAAGTTGTGTGTTTTACTCAGATGCATTTGACACCGAGCAATTGCTGTGTGTGATGGAGAAATTGAAACATGGGCAAGCTGTAGATATTCCAAAGTATGATTTTAAGAGTAACAAAAATGACGTATTCCCTCTTCGAAGGGTAATGTCTTATAGCATAGCGTTTTCCTCTTTTTTTTTTTGTTTCACTTCAGCTTATACTGTTGCATGGACATCAATCTAATTTCTTTTAAGAGTGTCAATTTATGTCATCCATCTGTTTGAACATTTTTTGTCTATGATCCAAACATGCCTCAAAGAGAAAACAAGGAAGAAAAAGGAGAAAGATTAACATTCAAATGATTTGAAACATAGATACTCTTCCTGAAAGAGGGTTAGGGTAGACGTGTGGAAAAGCTACTGCCTGCGGCCAATTTTATTTTTTGGATGCTGAATTATCTAATGTCACTAAACACTTTTGACTTAAAATACTTGGTAGGTCAATCCTTCAGATGTTATAATTTTGGAAGGCATACTCATTTTTCATGATCCTCGTGTCCGAGATCTGATGAGTATGAAGATATTTGTAGATACAGGTTCTTTCCTCTCCTTTCTTTGATATATCTTTATGTTTCTTGTATTAGATTACTGCTTCTCATTATCTCATCCGGATTTTTTTATTACATGCATCTTCTTCTTTGCAATTGTTTCACCTAAAAATGATAAAACCAAATTTCAAACACCAATTGAACTTTTTGTTGCAGACCTTTATTTGTCTTGACCACATTAGATTTCTCGAGAAGAAAAAAAGAATCTAGTAGGAATAGTAGTATGCTACATGATGTATGTGTAGAAGCACCAAATCTATATTGAATCGGATTATTCGAGTTATTTTACTTATTTTTTTCACAGGGTTTCTTTTTCCAATTGTTGTCAGCTCTTCCTATTGTTCGATTTGCGGATTAGTCTAATCACGAGGATATAGCTTCTGCTTGTTGTTCCATTCCATTTCTACAGACATCTATGGTGAATCTTCTACTTTTGTGGCTTCATAATTTGAAATTCAGTGCAGATGCTGATGTACGCCTTGCAAGGAGAATAAGACGCGACACTGTTGAAAATAATAGAGATATTGCTACAATATTAGATCAGGTTAGCTGAGCTTTATATGATTATTGAAAGAATTTGTGAGCTTACTTTGCCGTTTCATATGTTCCTATCTCTTTTACTTTTTGCTGTTATGGTAGATCTTTTGTAAAGGTATCAATTTTTTTTTTGTATTCCCAACGTCCAACAAAATGCCATTTGTTATTAGAAAGATCAACAGATTGATGAATAATTTTATTTGTCCTGTTTCTTTTCTCACTTCATGTCTGTGCATGCACCTTGATGCTGTTCTCGATGGAAGGTTCTAACATGACCTTTTCAAAACTGACAAGTTGCCCAAAATTTAGCATAATTCTTTTTGTAACTTTTTTTCTTTTCAAGAATAACGTAATGTAATATTTGTGCAGTACTCCAAGTTTGTCAAACCGGCTTTTGATGACTTCATTCTTCCAACAAAGAAGTATGCTGACATTATCATTCCCCGGGGTGGAGACAACCATGTTGCAATCGATTTGATTGTGCAACATATTAGAACGAAACTTGGTCAACATGATCTTTGTAAAATATACCCTAACTTATATGTTATTCAATCCACTTTTCAGGTGCTATTTCCATCTTGTTCCTAGATATGTTCTAGTCCCATCTGTTTAAGCTTCATCGTGAAGTCATTTTCGTGTTCTTCAAGATCAAACTTTTATTTTCTTCTAAAAATTGTTATTTGTTTCATTTAGATACGTGGCATGCATACACTTATCCGTGATGCGCAGACGACTAAGCATGATTTCATATTTTATGCTGATAGATTGATTCGTTTGGTAAGTTTTTCTTTCTTACACAGTAATCAAGTTAAGTTTTTGACACGAGAAAGCCAAATCTTTGTTTCCCCTTATGTATGCCTCACTATGCCAGGTTGTTGAACATGGACTAGGACATCTGCCATTTACAGAAAAACAGGTGATCACTCCAACTGGTAAGTGCTATCCCCATGATGCAATACTCATGCCTTGTACTCAGAAGTATTTTGATTTCTTCTTTTATTGTAGCCTATTTGGTAAGGTCTGCTTATATAAGGCGTACGGGCCAGGCTAAGTGCTATTGCTGTCTCATTACAGTTACACGTGGAATTTTTTTCCAACTCTTCATATAGCATGTTGTGCTATCACTCATTACAAGACTGATATGCCATGATTGATGTGGAACAAGGCCCTCACGGACTAAAGCCAATATCATCATTTGATTCAGTTTTTTTTTTTTTAAATCATGTTTATTCATAGACTTAACTATTCTTCATATCCAAGTTAGCCGTTTTCGAGCATGAAAAATATACTTAAATAAACTCACGTCTGTTGACCTCAGGATCTGTATACAGTGGTGTAGATTTCTGCAAGAGGTTATGTGGTGTCTCTGTAATTAGAAGGTAATTATTGTTTGTCTCGCTTGATATTTCTTCAATACAAGATTTCTATTCTTGTGTCTGCATATATCCTTATGTTGATGCATCATTTATGCGCTATTACTGAGAATAATTAAGCATAAGAAACGAGAGACTCTTAGTTTCTGAGAAACTTGTTTATTTGACATTGGATGTGCAAAGCTTCATTCTCGAATTCTCGAGATGAATACATGTTAACCACTGAGAAGATCAAGATTTATAATGCTTAGAGTAAATGTCAGCTAAAAAGGTTTATATCAATGGGGATTCCTTTTTCTTTCTAGTGTGGGAAATCGCTATGCAAAATATTTACATGTTTTGCAACTAGACAATATTTAAATTTGACGTGTTAATCTTTTAAAATTAAATAAAAATATGTATTGTCAGGTCAGTCGAATTACATTTCAAGTAATTGGTGACAGTCGTAATTCATTCCGAATCAGCTGGTTTGATGTTGTTGAATGTATATGTTGTTTACCTAATCATCTTCCTTTGGTGTGTTGAAGCGTTTTACTTTAATACCTTAGAAGTGACCATGGTTGCTTCTTTTCTGCCTCCAAAAGTAGATTTCGTGATTTCTATGTTCTCTAAGAATTTCTAATTATGCACAGTGGAGAGAGCATGGAGAATGCCTTGCGTGCATGTTGTAAAGGTATCAAGATAGGCAAGATTCTTATCCACAGAGAGGGCGACAATGGTCAGCAGGTTAGCGATCCCTTTGTCCTTCCGAATCATTACATTGACATTTGTGTTCTTTCATTTTTTAATTTCTAATGCATTTTCTCATTAATGGCATGAACAATGTACAGCTGATATATGAAAAACTGCCAGAAGATATTGCACAAAGGCATGTCCTTTTGTTGGATCCTATCCTTGGCACAGGTTAGTCTATGAGGTTTGAATTAGCTCCTCCTGATCGTATTTCTCCAGAGATGAAAGAGAAGTTTGGCGATTTGTCTTTTCAGAGCTATCATCCCAATTAAAAAAACTCTTCTTGTGGTAGACATGTCCCTGATAAAAAAATATAGTGAAATAACCTTCCCTATACTTTCCTCAGACCCTGCTACTATGAAGGATGTTCACTTCTTAAATATCCTATAACGCCCTCGACATCACCATAACTTACGTGCACAAAAAAATTATATGCACTACATCATCTAGATTGTTAATTTTTTTCTTGACGAACGATTGCATAACTAAGCCTATTATGTAACAATCTGCAGGGAATTCAGCAGTTCAAGCTATTTCTTTACTGCTAAAAAAGGGAGTCCCAGAATCCAACATTTTATTCCTTAATCTTATCTCAGTAAGTTTACTGGTTCATCCAATTTTTGGGTTTGATTCTCTTTAAATCCACCTTTCTACAAATATTCGATTGTTATAGTGCGTAAACAAGTAACAGCTTCTATTGCAATATAATTCTGAAATCATAACTAGTGTTGTTCTTAAACTAGGCACCCCAAGGAGTACATGTGGTCTGTAAGCGTTTTCCAAGAATAAAGATTGTGACATCTGAGATAGAAATTGGTTTGAACGATGAATATCGTGTTATCCCTGGAATGGGGGAGTTTGGTGACAGGTATTTCGGCACAGATGATGACTGAACATTAATTGGTGGTCGCGTTCCATCTCTCAATCGCGAGAGAGGGATCATGATGTAGAGAAGGGAGTCAGTTGAGCATGATTGATCAATATGTGTTCAAGCTTTTGTACATTTTAAACTTGTATTCGACTACAGTTGCCCTGGAAACGCAATCTTCAAACTTATTGTATATTTGAGCAGCACTCAATTCAGTTCCATTATCCGGGAATGAGGTTACAACCCTGAAAGATACAATCTCTTTTGGTCAACCATCAATAACGTATTCAGTGTAATTTCACAAGTGGAATCTAAGGATGGTAGGATATACGCAGAAAAAGCATAATCAAAGCAGGATAGAAATTGGTTTGGATTACTACTTCCACTGTCATTCATAATTCAGATGCATAAATTGAGAACTAGCCAACTCCTTCACAGTAGAAAGCTGCTACGAAAATTCAATTCATCAAAATTGGAAAGGAGAAAGAAAAAAAGGAACTATGAAAATAATTGGAAAAAGAAGTGTATCTAATGGAAATATGTGTGAGATTAAAAAAAATTACATACTTGGAAGTAATATAATGAAAAATTGAAATGCAGTTAAACTAAAATAAAACAAATTTCCTTTCATGCATCAAGTCTAAATTAACATTCAACCAACCATAGAACCAAATAATTCACCTTGAATTCCACTCCCTGAGCAAATCCATCAGCAGGAAAGCAAGGTTAATTTTGTGTCCAACAATATAATTAATTTCAAAGACAAATTTGAATGCCCAAAAAAATGTTTTGAGTATACAAATTAAGCCACAGATCTTAATTCTATGACAAAAAAGGGATAATAATCAACCCCCAAATAGATATCCGGCAGCTTGTTCTTCGTTACCATCGAAAAACTTGAGAGCTTGTACTACTGCTTCCCTTCCAAAGCCTAACTCAACAAGCTTTGCAACTTTGGCTTCAAATTCAGGTCCCTGTAGATAAAATATCGACTCCAGATTTGAAATAGCACAGAATTTATGCAGACTGCCAAGGAACAAATTAATCTATAATTTTACCTGTGTCAAGTTCCCACCGGCACTTCCTGTGGATTAAGACAAGGTTGAACCATATGAAAATGCAATTCAGAAGAGAAAATAAAAATAGCTGAAGAAACAACCAAAAGTAGGAAGAAAGAGAACTGAATGTCATGTTAACATGACTCTTCCTAGATCATATGAAGCAAATTATCTTAAAGAATCTTTGAATCCTTGGGTGCAGAGAAACAGTTCATATCACAGACAAAGTTGAAATGATCTAGGAGGAATATCAGAAATATATTTGGATATTGAAGCTAACCAGAAGGACTTCCTTTTGTAGGATCAGTCTTCTCTGTTGCTCCAGATGTTGCCTGATACAGCAAGGAAAAAAACCAAGTTTAGCACTGCTGCCTCGTTAAAAAAAAAAAAACAAGGAAACAGCATTGCTCACAGAAGGTCAAAAATTCTGATTTAAATATTTAGAGGAAAATGATGCTATAACATATTATGAAAGGGCTGCACAACCTTAAAGATATAGAAAGTGCATTGCACCATCTTAGAGCAAACTGGCTCAAACAACCCCAGGAGAAAAAAGAAAATCTCCTCCAGAATGTCATAATCATAAAAGGAAAGAGGCCACCCAAATCATTTTATCAACGATTTTCCATTAGTTTCATAATCAACTTTATCTTTTATGGCATAGAGTGCATATCACCACAAGTGCACTCAATTTGTACAACAATAGCTCTTGAAATAGGTTACATTTTTTGATTATTTACTACTCACATTAAACTACATGCAGCAACATGTAGAGCCCTACTCTCAATAAAGACACTTATTGTTGAGCCCTACTTCAACTTTTTTGATTATCTACTACTAACATTAAAGACACTAATGTTGAGTCCGGGAAAAAACATTGTATTAGAAACAAAACAAAAATGCCTTTACCTGAGCTCCTGAGCTCGAAGCCTCCTTGGCGTCCCTCTCATCGAGAAAATGACTGGGAATATCCTTCTCTGAAATTTGAAGTACACAAAACTTAGTAAAAGCTCAAAGGTAGTAGTATCCAGTACCAAAGTAACCAGACGCATCACCAACCATGTAGAAATGGTACAGCAACCTCTCCTCCGCCAACTCTCAGAACATTGTCCTTGAGATCAATCATGCACTGCAAAAGCTCATTACCATTAGCTTATAAGATGTATTGAAAAGAATGAAAAATGGAAAAGAGAAAGATGTTGCAAGCACTGCAAGAAGGTAAACCTGGTGCTTGCGAAGCATATCAAGTCCAAAGAGAAATTCCATATTGGGAGAATCCAGCACCACAAAAGAACAAGGGTAGAATATTTTTCCAATCTGCCATAGTTAACAGTAGCAAATTAAAGTGAAACATGTTAGCAGGGCATCTCCTAGGAATTTATTATTAATTTGAAGGCAGCATATCCAGGCAGCTTCTCATTTGTTTGAAAGCTTTCATTTACTAAAATAAACGCCATGTGTCTGGTTGGTACAACTTAATCCTTATGTTTTATGAGTAGAACAAGTAATCATCACCAGCTGATTACTGGGACAAGTCATCAGAGAAACTGATTTAAAGCAAAAAAGCAATAAGCTCAAACTACTTACAAGTTGCAACTGACGGATTATTAAATATTTGACTATTATGTATAGCTATATGTTACGCATAAAGGTTAGTGTGTACTGTGTAGCTTATTTAAAATTTAGACTGCTAGCCATCAAAAGGATAGTTAGCATAAGGCATCCAGATCATAAAATTAAACACTACTAAGACATAATGCACTACAGTAATAGAGAAACTGGAAGAATAGAACATGGAAAGCATTTGACAGCAGCCAAACGTAGTCATCCAGCAATCTATTTAATTTCTAGGCAGCGCAAGAGAAAATAGAAAGGACTCATTGGTAGAACAGCTACATCAATTATCTATGGTAAGGAATAGCTGCATCTGTTGTATACTATCAATGCACTTGAAGTACAGACACAAAACTGAAGTAGCACATAAGCTCCAAGGACGTAACAAACCTTGATTGGAGCAACATGAATACGACCTAGTATCTCTGTTTGACCAACTCCACGAGCAATGCCCTTGTAGCGTGTATCTAATAACCTCAACAATCTGCAAGGGAAGGGGTCAGCAGTTAGTTCACTAACCAGGCCTAGCTTATCCCTGGAATTTGGAAAAGAATAAGCAAGCAACAAACACTTGTTACATTTATTGCACATTATTCTACAGTAAATAAAACCAAAACCCTCAATGTCAAAGTGAGTCATGTATTAGCCTATAAAGCCTATAAACTTCTACTGTTTGATAACCAAGAAATCCCCTAGGGTCAGGCACACGGCTTAAAACTCGGTGGATGATGGGTCCACCCATCTACCCTAGACTTTTACTTATTAGTTATTCACTCAACCCCACCATCAAGCTAATGAATACCTACTGGCTTATTAAGAAATTTTGAAGAGAGTTCTGAAATCTTATAAATTAGAAAATGGATATGAAAAAGTAACACTATAGTATAGGTGTGTAGTGTGTTCCATACTATAAGAGAGCTAATATGATTTTCAGAACTAAAAAAATCCAGAATAGCCTTAAGGCACCATAGCATGTCGATGAAAAGTATGCAGTCTTAGTGCCAGACAGTCTACAGCAGGAGTTGAAGATTTTGCATGCTGTGCTTCTATAATGCATGTTGAATTTTTAATTTGTCTATTATTATTCTTCTGTCATTCTAGAATATGAATTTTTGAACAACATGACTCAATTAAATATTCAAAAAAAAGTAAAAACAAGAGGAACTCTTCTCTTCTCATCTCCCTGACTTTTTCTGTAAGGTAAAAATTTATCTCTGACTAAAACTACTCATCAATTTATGAGCTCGTAATTTTTTTTTATTTTTTATAAAGAAAGGTATTATGCTTGTGTTATAATAATCATTTGGGCTAACAAAATATTACAAGGATCAAACAAGTTACTATCAACAACAGAGCACAGCCTAATAAGTCATACCCACAACGTTCTGCACAGGTTTTAGATATAATTGTTGACTGAGCTCCACTATCCACGAAAGCCTAAACCAAAAAGAAACAAAAAATCCCACTGAACCAAATGTAACAAGATGTATCAAAAAGATGGAACACATTCAAATCATAATCGCTACCTTTAGAGGATGACCATTTACTTCCATGTCAACATATAACATAACCTGAATAAGACAAAAAGTCAACACAACTGCCATTAAAACTACAGAGAGAATTAATATGTGAAAGGCATAAGGTAGTTTTCCATACCACAGTTCCAAAAGCTTCAGGATTGTGTTCTAATGCAGCTTCCCAGTTTTCTTCAATTCCTTTCTGGAAAATAAGCAAAACATGGAAAATCTCTATCATAAATAGACCCAACTTCCATTACATATTGAAAATTTTTGCACTAATTGTAAAGACCTCACGGAATAAAGAGAAAACTACTTATAAGGCAGACGGAAAAATATTTGGCAAGACTTATGATTATGCCATTTCACTGCAATAGACTAGGCGCAGAGAGTAATGTGATCCAGGAGGACTCCACAGACTCCAGCAATCAATCAATCAACTAGGTCCAGTCACAAATTAGTTGGGATCAAACGATCGGCTGCGCAAATCTTGACTATGTGATACATATGTTTTTTTTTAGATGGGTGAATATTCTATATGTATAAATCAATCAAATCAACTACAAGTTCCACAGACAACAACAAGAAGTTCCTCAGACTGTCAAAAATTCAAAAAAAAGGCTACTGATGATTTGGTTGGTCGAATGATGATCCAACCAATATATCAATATTCAGCATACCAGAGCTGTTGGAAGAGATGCTCATAAGAAGGGGTTCAGTACTTGTTTAACGGCATTAGTTCATAATTAGAGTGACTCAGTATAAAAGCTACTTAACATAGTCAAATCAATATTTGATCGAATAACAAATGTCCCAGTGAAGAAGTTAACCGCTTTACAGATATTTGTCTTTACATTTATCTATTACAGTGGTAGATCATGCTTAAATAGGAGCTAATTGTTTTCCCAGAAAAAACAGGGACAGAGAAAAAGCACGGTTGTTTATGGTCCATTCAAGTTAAAATAACCATACTAAAATTAAAGATTGTAAATAAAGGAACTACG